TTGCTCTGCAAGGGCGTGGATGTGGCACCGCTGAGGTCCTTGGGAGACAGCACGCGCTCTGATCGTACTGGGACCCCTCAAAAAATCGGAGGAAGATGGAGCTTGGTGGGCTTGGAGGAGGATGTCAGAGGCCCGTGGAGGATGGACGGGGTCGTAGGGAACGCCACGTGATGTTATCACATGTTGTTGTATCATGTTGATGGGATATTGTTGGTGTGATCATTATTTGCGCGCGTGCGTCTGCTGTTCTTCATGCGTTGTTTATATTCGGGCGGCCCTAACACATTTGCCAGCGATGTTGTTTATCATAAGTGGTGCATTGATTGGCACGGCGTCAGCTACCATTATTGTTTATAGTATCTCTGTTGTCAGTGCAATGCTGTGCTTGCTGTGCTGTTGCTTTTGCGCTTATATTTCTTAGTGCCCCGATGGGTTCTCGAGGTTCTTGAGGTGGGTCTTTGAGATCTTCGATGGGTCCCAGCTGTCCTTGAGATGGGTCCTTGAAGTCAACGAAATGAGTCATTACGTCCTTGAGGTCCTTGATGGGTTCCTTGATTTCCTTGAGATCCGTGAGATCCGTGGGACAGGACCTTGAGGTCCTTGAGATCATTCAGGGCCGTGAGGTCCCTGATGGGTCCTTGATGTTCGTAGGATGGACTCTTGAGGTCCTTGAGGTCTTGGATCGATTCCTGAGGTCCGTGAGATTGGCCCACGAGGGCCTTGAGGTCCTTGAGATGGGTTCTTGAGGTTACACATGTCCCCCATGGGTCCTCGAGGTCCTTGAGATTTTGAGCCAGTCGTAGTGAGCTTGCCGCCCACGGCCAAGTCGAAGCACGAGAATGGTCCCGCACCCGTTTCGCAATGCTGTGCGGGCCTTCCGCGATAGCATCGTCAATGGGCACGTTCGCGAACGACTCCACCTTCTGGGAGGCGAGTGCACTGATGGAGCGAGGATGCGAGTGAGGGAGAAGCAAGGTGGTAGAAGAGGGAGGAGGAGGCGCAGAACGTTTGCAGGGACGAAAGGGATTGGGGATGAGCGAGGGGGGGAGGAGGAAGATCAGAAGGAAGATGAGGAATCCAGAAAAGAGCATTCTTATCCACCATCCCCCTTCCGCTGGGAAGGGGAGGAGGTGGAGGAGGAGGAGGATGGTGTGGGTATGCTTGCACAAGCTACACTTGCCTCGAAAGCCAAGGCCTCGGTCAAACCAGTGCCATCGTCGCCCATGGCGTCGAAGTCGGCCCTCAACTGACCCGTCATCACATGCAACGTTGCATCATCGTGGGCATCAGCTGGGACACGATTGAACTGTTCCAGGACGCGTGCCTTGATGCCAGGCTCCTTAAGCCGAGAAAACAAATATGGTATGTTGTCGTGCGGCTTCGCCTTGGCCTGACCCAGAGCGAACGCACCGCGAGCTGCGCCCTGCACAAGTTGCCACAGCTCGACGCCACCATGACTACCAGGAGTCCAAGAATTCACCTCAGCCAAACCCTCTCGCAAACGCTCCATTGCAAAATTGTAGCACAGCGATAACACGCGCCCTTTTTTCTTGCACTCAACTGTCTCGCCCCTGAAATATTCATCCAAATGACACGGACATGCGCCAGCGAACTCCATGATTCTGCAGATCCAATTGCACAGCCATTTCACAGCATTGAGTTGATGAAACCATTGTGGGGATGCCAACGATTCCCTGACCAAGCGCAATCTAGCCTTGTTCTCTTCCTCTGCAACTCTAGCAAACACCCCAACATTGAAATGCAACGCTAAGGATTCGATGAAACGGCTGAGCTCGGCACACACATTGTCCAACGTAGCCCGCCTCCATTGCGCAAAGTTCGGCAATGACGCCTCTTTTATAATAGCAGCCAGACCTGACAACCCGCGTCGTTGCAAATCTTTCACAAGTGCAGCTCTGATAGTCACATCTCGCAAGAAATAGTTCACAGCCTTCTCAAGAACACCCAGCCGATCACTACTGATAATGGTGCTGTCATTCTAGAACTGCCATAGCTTTCAAGCTTACTGCCACAACCGACTTTCATTGGAAAGGGGGCACGGTATCACGCGCTACTCTCGGGCCCTTTGGTAGGCCCAGCAGCCGGCAGGAACCGAGCAAGGTGTTGGCCCAGGAGGGCCCACCAAGCGCAAAGCACGGCAAGGTAAATCACACCAGGGAAACGATGGATTTAGTGGCGTGTTAGCTTATAGACATGTGAACGACGTAGGTGTGCGACCCAGGTTTCTCGGATAGCCCTTGGAAACAAATTTGCGAAACAAATCAGCCGACATGAGATTTTTGACAAGACCCTGGAACCTGCAACGCGCTCATTGCACACGGACGTTTGACGAAACGTCCGATCAGTTTTTCGGCGGTAGGTGTGGGTTGGGGAACAACCTTCACTCTGGCAAGCCAGTCTGGAAAGAACGGTAGCGACCACAATGCGCGCTTAAGCACGTTGTCCCACAGATGCCTCCATCCAGTCACCACGAGAGCTCTTGGGAACAAGCGCTTGAGCTCCCGAGCTCCCCTGAGGGCCCGACCCTTGGCCCCGATCGATTGCAAAAAATCTTTCAAGAAATCTGTTTTTTTTGCTACCAGTCGTTCAGCACCATTGTCAGTAGTGATCGACCGAATGGCATTGCAAGCCTTTCTCATCATTACAAAGCTGGGCCCACATATCAAAAATAATTGCCAAAGCAACCCAATCGCCTTCGACGTTGAATCTAAACAACCGTGCTCTAACGATATGAACGGTAAGTAGCGACGTTGTTGAAGAGGACCTGCAAATAAGTCGAATGACGCAGCAAACATCTCTAACCCCCTGCGCTGTGGCGATCCATCTGCGAAAATGTAGATATTCAACGATTCAGGCGCCAACGATTTGAAGAGATCACGGAAAAATAAACATGCTACTGCATCAATCCTCACCCGTGCTTTTCTCAACGTGTCTCTGTTGACATAATCCAAAGCTTGGGTAAGTTCGTGCTGAGAGAACTCCGCTTTTCTAGTGAGCAATTTCGCGAAACAATCGGCAGCCTCATGCGCAAACTTTATGTCTTTGAGATACTGTGTCGTGGAAACCCAGTCTACGACCAGATCTGCTGGCCAAGCATTTTTTGGAGCAATTCCTTGCCGATGAAACTTCACACTGGATTGTCTGACCAACCATTTTTTCACTTTCCGAAGGGACGGCGCGATCGATAACATCTGGCTTTTTCTCAATTGTATCTTAGGCCCAACCGCCATGCTTTTGAAAATGCACCATTCGCCACTCATGATTTTCGCTGCTAGTCCAGGTTTCAGCGTTGCAATGCCAGACGGAAGTCCAGCTTCAAGCCCATCGATCCATTGTCCAAGCGTTTGCCTGGTCGTGGTCTCTTGAAGCCGAGCGTGCGCAATCAAATCAAGTATTGATGCTGTAGCGTCAACCGCAACGTTGCCAGCCAAACACATTGATTGTTCCGTTTCGTAAACCAAGAATCCATTCATTACAGCACCAGTTCGTAGCCGACAAGTTGCAACCCCATAGGCCCAATCATTGTTCGCATTGCCAGACATGTGTGAAACTGGTGCAAGTCTCCATCGGGCCACGACCATCCCCAATAACAGCGCACCATCACCAACATCCAAGCCATTGATCTGTTGCTGCAGAACATCTGGAATTTTACTGGGCCAGCCACCTGCAACTGCGATGACAAGAAACAGCGCCCTCTGCCCAACTGAGTTGATAATTCTGCGCCTCCGCTCAGGCGGGCGCACAACCACATCATCAGGCACCTCGTCAACGTGAATGTCGGGATCCAACATACGAGGCTAGCTACATTATCGGAGCCACGTGCTCTGGAGCTACAAATGGCCTCGTAAAAAAAAAAAACAAACGGGAGACCGATATTGGCATTGCCATCCCCACGGAGGAGGCGGATGACGGAGCGGGCGTTCATACTTGTTAGCAGGGATGCAAGGGTGAGCTTACATTGCAGATGACCCAAGGACCCTCCAGGACTTACAAGGGGGTGGTGGTGGATTCGGCGATGCTGTTGTCGTTGTCGCTTTCTCGCTCCTCTTCCCACTTCCTGTGGTCATGTTAGTGCTTCCTCCTCCTCGCCCCTTGTCATCCGACCAACCCTGCTCCTCCTACACCTACTGTTCCCTTCCCTCCCCCTCCATACCCTAAACCCTCATTGCATGCTCCTCAATGCTATCCTCATCCTCGGTGTTTTGGGCATCCTCCTTCCTCGAATCCCGTCCTCATCCCTCCCGTTTCTTGCGCCATTGTTCTGCTTTTGTTCTTCCCCCGCTGTCATCCTAAATCGTCACCCTCGATCCCCGAAGTAGAATCATTCCTCCCCGTTATCCTGATCTGCCTCCTTATCTACTGCCCCTGCTGTTTTTGTTTTGCTTTGGGTCTGGTCGTCGCACAATGCATGCGATATGAATGTCCTAAGTGCGGGGGGGCGCCACAGAACAAGGTAAGCCAACAGCAAAAGGAAAGGTAATGAAGAGGGAAGCTAGAGAGGAAGAGATAGGAGGCGGCGCCTGCTCTGTCTGATCCTATACTAGGCCAAACCAGGGTCGAATTCAAGGTATCGAGTGGACACTTCTGGTGGTTCCGAGGAACCGAGTGCATGGCACTGTGGTTCCTTAAAGGGTAGTAGAAGCCGCTAGCCCCTGTCTTGGCAATCTGGGGACCCATCTGTGCCCGCACCAAAGGTCACTCGAGCGAAAGGTCACTCTTACGTCTAGTCGAGGATAGCGTGTCGCGCCGAAGCGCAGTGGGCCAGAACCGGCGTAGCGTCACGCTAAGCCAAGATTCCCAAACGGAAGATCTCGAAGGCCCGCGCGGATTTCTTGGAACCGCGCTGAACCCCCAGGCGGCGCCTCGGGAGCCGCCCCTGGCGCGCTCCGCGCGCCCGATTGGTGGGCCCAGCGCCGATCTAAGAAACCCGCGCGGACCTCCGAATGTCTGTGCTTTTGCCGTTTTTTCCTCTGCGGGTCCTGCAGCGGAACCAGGAAGGGCGGCTGGAACGAGTTGTAGTGCTTCTTGTTTTTCAGGCGCGGTGAGCGGAAATCCTGCGAGATCACGTGCACGTGAAGCTGCCGCAGCGACGGCATGGCGTGCACGCCCTGTCGCCAGGTGAGTTCGGGCCTTGGCGAGGCTTCGGGCTGCGCGCACACAGAGCCCCCCCCCGGGTAGTTGAAGCGGCCCAGGGGCACACGAAGAGATGAGTGCACGAACATCCCAGGGTTCCCAATCTTTTTCGATAGTTGTTTGATTCTCGTCTTCCCCCCCATTTCCCATCTTTGCCTCCCTGTGTCTGTTCGGGCCGGGCGAAAGGGGGGGATAGCAAAGGGGGGGTTGAGAATGAGCTCGCGTAGCTGATTTTCCAGGCGCCTCCCGGCGCCGGGAGGCGCCCATGCATCGAGGAATGTTGGCGGCGCGCAAAAGGGGGTGGGGGGAGGGGGAGGGCTTCTTAGAAGGAGGCTGCTTCTTAGAAGGTGCCGGCCTCACATCTGAAGATGAGGCCCGCGCCTTCTAAGAAGCAGGGGTGCTTCTAAGAAGCCCTCCCCCCTCCCCCACCCCCCTCTGCGCGTGGCTGAGAATGGGCCCCGCGGCGGGGCCGAAACCAGCCGCATGCAGCAGATTTCGTAACCCCCCCTTCCCCAATCCCCCCCTTTCGTCCGGCCCGATCTGTGCATAGGTTTCTCCCCTCCCGAGGTCGCCCTGGCTGGCCTCAGCCGCCCCAGCATTCCTATAGTCCTACCACGAAATGTTCTCAGAACCCCAAAATGTTCGAAGAACAACAACAACAGTGCTCTTAGAACGCAAACTCGATGCGCTAAAACAAGAGAGTCCCAACCAGAACTGTTCGAAGAACATTTCGTGGAAAACGCAACAGGTTCTCAGAACATTGTCTGGTGGGGCTGTAGTCGGGTCGGGCGAAAGGAGGGGATAGCAAAGGGGGGGTTTGAGAATCAGCTCACGTAGCTGATTTTCCCGGCGCCTCCCGGCGCCGGAGGCGGCTATGTATCGAGGAATGCGGCCCTCGGTGAGGCCGAAACCAGCTGCATGCAGCAAATTTCGTAACCCCCCCTTTCCCAATCCCCCCCTTTCGCCCGGCCCGATAGAGGCGAGCCAGGACGCCTCGCCACTGCTTGAGTTCTTTCCCCCCCGAGGTCGCCCGGGCTGGCCTCGGCCGCCCCCCGAGGCAGTCCCTGCCGGCCTTCGCAGGCCCGCCGAGTGGGGAGGAGGAGGAGGAGGAGGAGGAGGAGGAGGAGGAGGAGGAGGAGGAGGAGGAGGAGGAGGAGGAGGAGGAGGACGACGAGGAGGAGGAGGAGGAGAGGAGGAGGAGGAAAAAGAGGAAAAGGAGGAGGACGAGGAGGAGGGAGGAGGAGGAGGAGGAGGAGGAGAGGAGGGACGACGAGGAGGAGGACGAGGAGGAGGAAAAGGAGTTGTTTCCCCTCCCGAGGTCGCCCTGGCCGCACGTGGGGGACTTCTCCTCGGTCTGGGGCCCTCGACGGACTTGGGGCTCCTGCCTTCGATCTGGATTGTGAGTTCTGGAGAGGTAGGGGGAGAAGGAGGATGAGGAGGAGAGGAGGAGGAGGAGGAGGAGAGGAGGACGAGGAGGAGGAGGAGGAGGAGGAGGAGGGAGGAGGAGGAGGAGGAGGAGGAGGGAGGAAGAGGAGGAGGAGGAGGAGGAGGAGGAGGAGGAGGAGGAGGACGAGGAGGAGGGCCTGGTTCTCGCCAGGGGACAAGGTCCGCAGCCCAGCGAAGGCGCCCTTCGTGACAGAACATTGCTGCGCCGGGAGATCTCGAGGCCCGGAGGCCCGCCGGGGCTACCTCCCAGACGCGCGATGTCCTGCTGTTTCAACACGGGTCGGGAGCGGCCTTTCGCCAGCACTTCCGCCGCCTTCCGCCAGCATTCCGCAGGCTTCCGTCGGCGCAGGCGGCCCCGCTCCACCTCCGCCTGCCGCCAACTTTCCGCCGCCTTCCGCCGATGAAGCAGCGGAACCCCTTCGATCCTCGCTGGCGAGGCCGGCCCTTCCCAGAGGTCCGACGTCGTGGCTTTTTCAACGCGGGGTCTCGAGAAGCCTCGACCCATTCCCCACAGGACCGGTTTTTCATCCCGAGTCGTGTTTTTCGGGAGCGGCCAAGAGGGGGGCGTCCAAGAGGGGGGGGTGCAAATCATGACCGGCGGCATGTGCGTGGCCCAGCGGGGGGGCCAGGGACGTAATGCAATGAGAAAAGGCATGAAATCTGGGGAAATATCATGGCCCACGCCATGATATCCACCCCCCCTAGTCATCACCCCCCTCTTTACCGCCCCCGAACGGGGTCCTTGAAGTCCCGATCCTTTTTCCGGGACCGGGTTTTCATCCTGAGTTTTTTTTGGTTGGTGGTCCCAAACCCCCACGTGCCTGAAAACAAGGCAACACCACCCATCTTTCATGACCCGAGGTGTTGAGGCCAGCCAGGGCTGCCTGGGGGGCGGCTGTCGTTGCGCAGCGCGAGCCACACCAGAACCGTCGTCGGTCGTCGACGTCGTCGTCGTCGTCGTTGTCGCTGTCTTCGTCGTCGTCGTCGTCGTCGCTGTCGTCGTCGTCGTCGTCGTCGTCGTCGTAGTCGTCGCCGTCGTCGTCGCCGTCGTCGTCGCTGTCGTCGTCGTCGGCGTCGTGGTCGTCGCTGTCGTCGTCGTCGTCGGGGTCGTTGTCGTCGTCGTCGCCACCGTCGTCGTCGTCGTAGCCGCCACCGTCGTCGTCGTCGCCGCCACCGTCGTCGTCGTCGTCGTCGTCGTCGTCGTCGTCGTCGTCGTCGTCGTCGTCGTCGTCGTCGCGGTCATCGTCGTCGTCGTCGTCGTCGTCGTCGCTGTCATTGTCTTCGCTGTCGCCGTCGTCGCCGTCGTTGTTGTCGTCGCCGTCGTTGTTGTCGTCGCTGTCGCCGTCGTCGTCGTCGTCGTCGTCGTCGTCGTCGTCGTCGCGTCGTCGTCGTCGTCGTCGTCGTCGTCGTCGTCGTCGTCGTCGTCGTCGTCGTCGTCGTCGTCGTCGTCGTCGTCGTCGTCGTCGTCGTCGTCGTCGTCGTCGTCGTCGTCGTCGTCGTCGTCGTCGTCGTCGTCGTCGTCGTCGTCGTCGTCGTCGTCGTCGTCGTCGTCGTCGTCGTCTCGTCGTCGTCGTCGTCGTCGTCGTCGTCGTCGTCGTCGTCGTCGGCCTCTGCGCGGACAGTTCCCGGAGCAGCCAGGCCACGTACTCGGCCAGGCGCCGCAGCAGAGGCAGGTGCTCGGCCGTCAGGTCCTGGGGCCCGTCCAGCCGCAGCCTGGGCACTGCCAGCAGGTGGACCTGAGCGACGAAAGGGAGCGGGTCTCACGAGAGAGGGAGGAGGAAGAGGAGGAGGAGGAGGAGGAGGAGGAGGAAACGAAGGAGGAGGAGGAGGAAGAGGAGGAGGAGGAGGAGGAAGAGGAGGAGGAGGAGGAGGAGGAAGAGGAGAAGGATGAGGAGGAGGAGGAGGAAGAGGAGGAGGAGGAGGAGGAAGAGGAGGAGGAGGATGGGAAGGAGGAAGAGGGTGGATGCTGGATTGGCCTGCCTCCGAGGAGGCAAGTCCGAGAAAGAGAAGGTGACACGCACAACGAGGCAAGGAAAAAGGGCAACGGGCGAACGCGCCCCACCGGGAGGCGCACCGGCAGAAGGGTCAATCCTATCGGAAAGGGCACCGGCATGCAACAACAAAGTGTGGCCCTTTCGGGGATGGACAGACCTCCCTTTAGTAAAACGTGGTTTAGTGAAAACGACCTGAGGCCCAAACCTGGCGGGCGCAAGCCTGGAAAATAACGGCCGCGGCGCCCTCTCGAGAACCGAAAACGGACAATTCACTAATCGACGTGTCACTGTTGGGGGTTCTGTCCACCCCCGACCCTTTTCTTTTCGGCCGCCAGCAAAGACATGGCGACAACAACAATAGCACAACAACATAATCATCATAACAGTCGTCATCCATCTCTGCGGGGACGGCCATGCGCCACGTACACTAAAGGTGCGTGACCAAAATCTAAACTGGGGTATATCGCGGTGGGATCCCCAAACTCGCTGTACAGCCTGAGGGTGGCGGGAACAACCGGGCCCAAGGACACATTCCGCTTCGGGTCAAGTCCGCCGAGCAGGCGCCCGAGGCGGTCACGGCCTGTGGCAGAGGCCGTCTTCTGATTGCACTGGGCCGCAACGTGTGTGACGTCTGTGGACGAGTACGAACCAAGTATATTACAGAAAATGTACTTACCCGTCTTGAAGCCCACATGCCCCGTACCATGAGGGGCAGTGTAGGGAGCTTTCGCTAAGACATGTTTGTGGCGACTGGACGACCAGCACGCCACGCATCGGAAACGCCGGACGTCTTGGTCCCAAACCAGCTCAGGAAGCACACACCGAGAAGGGAAAACGAGGGAGAGACAGGAGGGGGGAGGGGGAGGAGGGGCTGGGCGGAGGATGCCCTCAAGTTTTTCGAGGGCTATTGCGGCCATGTGGGCCACAAACATGCCCACGTGCTCGACTACTATACGGGAGCGGGACAAGCGCTCCATAGCAGCAGTATCCACGGGATGCAGGCGCGCTCCACGGCGAGCGTACGAATCAGCATGCGTATTGCTGGCGGTCATCCATGCCGCCTGGGCGGGCGACGCGACATCAATCTGAGCTTGTGCCTTGCGCACACCAGTTAAGTCATAACTCGGCTACACGCAGGAGTGACCCTGGGTAAGAGTGACCTTTGGTGCGCGACTCCTTGGGGGTCGCGGGGGGACCAAACCTGGGCGCGCAAGCAGCTGCTACTGCCTCGTTATCGGCCATTTGGGAACCCGTCTGTGCCCGCACCAAAAGTCACTCCGGCGACGCGACATCAATCTGAGCCTGTCCCTTGCGCACACCAAGCAATTCATTCGGCGACACGCAAGAGTGACTGACCCTGGGCAAGAGTGACCTTTAGTGCGCGGGCTGAGGGGGTTAAGATGGCCACATCCAAGGAATCCAAGGGCGCAAGCAGCCACTATCGCACCGCGGTCAGCGGTCGGGGGGGCCCCCGTGAGCCCGCACCAAAGGTCACTCCGGCGAAAGGTCACTCTTACGCCTAGTCGAATAACCGACATCTCTGGCTCTGAAGTGGGTGCGTGTCCAAGTGCCGGCGAGCGGAGCCCACCAAGAAGTAGAGAGCGGGCCTCGGGTGTCGACCACGTGCTTACCCCCCATTGGCAATCTGAAGGGGCCCACAAACACACACACAAACACAAACACAAACACAAACACAAACACACACACAAACACACACACAAACACACACACACAAACACAAACACAAACACAAACACAAACACAAACACAAACACAAACACAAACACAAACACAAACACAAACACAAACACAAACACAAGCACAAGCACAAGCACAAGCACAAGCACAAGCACAAGCACAAGCACAAGCACACGCACAAGCACAAGCACAAGCACAAGCACAAGCACAAGCACAAGCACAAGCAAAAGCACAAGCACAAGCACACACACAAGCACAAGCACAAGCACAAGCACAAGCACAAGCACAAGCACAAGCACAAGCACAAGCACAAGCACAAACACAACACACAAACACAACCACAAACACAAACACAAACACAAACACAAACACACACACAAACACAACAACAAACACAAACACAAACACAAACACAAACAAAAACAAACACAAACACAACCACAACCACAAACACAAACACAACCACAACCACAACCACAACCACAACCACAACCACAACCACAACCACAACCACAAACACAAACACAAACACACACACACACAAACACAAACACAAACACAAACACAAACACAAACACAAACACAAACACAATCACAGGCACAAGCACAAACACAAACACAAACACAAACACAAACACAAACACAAACACAAACACGCACGCACGAACGCACGCACGCGCGCGCGCACACACAAACACACACATCCATACATACACACAAATAAATACAGACAAATAACCGGAATCCCCATATTTTTATATATTTCCTGGGTTTCTGTCTTTCCCCAGTTCCCATATTTTCCCATATTCCCGAGGAGTCGACGATTCATTGTGTCTGTGTGTTTCTTTCCCTCCTGACAATCGCCGTGGTACTTGTAGCGCCCCCGCTGATCAGGGACAGCATGAAGCAAGACAACCACTCATGCGAGAGACTCTGACCCAGGAACACACGGATGTGATCCAGGGTGGGCTCTGTAAGGGGCCACTCGGGCAGATCCAGTGGGGCTCACGGATACGGCCGAGAAGCCACATCCAAGGGTCCGCGGGGACGGCCCGCACAGGCCAGAACCGACGCCAAAAACAGACGATTCCAACAAGGGCTGACCGGGACCACCAGGGAAGTCCCATTGGACATCGACACACAAAGGGGGCTGGGGGAGGAGACGCTCAGGGTCAGGCACCAAGGCTGAGTGCCAATGGACCCGCTGGGAACCTCTCTCGATCTCGTGCCATGTGCGCCGGCAATCCATATGTGTGTCGATCTCCCCACAAGGTAGAACAACTACAGATCACATGGTGCAGCGCCGATGTCTCATCAGAAGACAAGTCCCCACATGATGAGCATTCCAAGGATAGATGGAGCGACCCAGACAACACTGCGTGCAAGCAAGAACGCTGTTGCCGACCCAACAGTTCTACGAGCTTCCTCAGCGGCGGCAGGTACGGGTGACCGCCCAAGTGAGCAAGAAGAGGGTGATAGGGCACAGGCTGACACCAAGCCCACACATCTGCATGCCAAGATACAACAATAGCAACGTCCCCAGGGCAAATCATGCCCATGTCAATTACATGACCCTCAGCGCCAGCCGAGCCGCGACAATGCGGCAACCAGGGCACATGCTGGGCCTCCAAGGTCGTCCCAACGAGTATCCAAGGAGACATTCGATATAGCCCAAGTCAGGGCCTCGTCCAAAAAGGGCCGCGGAACCAATACATTCAAACAAGAGGCTAGCCACATAATCACCACATCAACATGGCAAGGGCCAGCAGGATTGAAAATTCGGTCCAGCGCAAGGTGCATTGCGATACAACGATGAGACCGAGCTCAGAAGGCTACTCGGTGCAAAACAAAAGCCGAAGCTCTTTGAGCTTGGGAGTGCTCATGCCCAAGACAGAAGCACCATAAGTAGCAGCGGGCATGGGCCCCTGCCGGACCAATCGACCAACGGGCCGCCCCGCCTTACGAAGCCGCGCGGCGAGCCTGGCCCTCTGCGAAACATCTTTAGGACGCATGTTCCGGTCTCTGCAAAGCAGCACGTGCTGGGGCACCAGCGCGAACTCCGCGCCAAGACTGCGTGCGACGGCCGGAAGCATCTTCGGCGACAGGTGCGAAAGAGGCGGCGTAGCCTCGACCACCGCCCGCGCCGCGGCAGGGTCAGGACACGACGAACTATTTTTCTCGGCTTCCAGAGATACTGGGAGATAGGCGTTCCCAAACAAGGACCACATCAACGAGAAGCTCACAATGCCTATCATCATAAGCTAAAAGTCGTCGGTAACAACTCCGTGCTGGGCGTGCCGGGAAAGCCCAGTCTGAACATCAAGTTCTGGTGCGATGATGGACTTCATCAGCAAGTCCGCGATCGCGCAGCCCGCAATGATCGTCCTAGTCGCCTGGGCAACTTCCCCATGACTGCCCTGCGCAGAGGTAAACCTCGGTCCTGTGTACAGTTGCAGGAGCAACCTCAGGGGCCAGGGGTTGAATCCGAGCACCAAGGTCCTGTGGGCCAAACTGTAGCGAACAACATGCTCAAACGCCTTCACAGTATCAAGTAACAAACCGAAGTTAGCCCAGCCGCGAGCATGGGCCACTTCAGCCATCGCGGAGTGTCTCCAGACGCATGCCAAGCTGGACTGAACCGCGGTTCCAAAGAGATGGTCCCGATATGTAGATCGAGCAAACGGTTGCCCCTCAGCGCGCCGAAACCAACGCGTAAGAATTCGAACGATGGTGGCAAAGCAGCGGCGCCCGTCGGGATCAACGACGTAATCGCATGGCTCGCATGATCAGGCGGGCGGCCTTCGCACAGCATCGTGCGCCAAAGTTCGATGAGACAAATCTGAGCGCCTTTCGAGAGCTGCGCCACGCGGCGCGGATGGAGCCAGTCACAGTCAACACAAGGCATGATCTTAAGCCGCGAAGCAAGCTCAACACATTGACGCGGCGACGGCATCACCAAGCGACCGATATCAGCCTCTGCGAACGGGGGAAACTCAGGCTTCTGAGAATCCAGAGTCACGCCCCAGATGGGATGCCGGAAATGGCGAGACTTCGCATGATGCACGGGGGCGCCGAGGGGCTCATCAACTAACTCGGGATCCAGATCAAAGTCCACCCAAGCATCAGTGCCCCAAAGAAAACGAAAGACAGCAGAAGAACCCTTCGCCGCCTCAGTGGTAGCCCATTCCTTCAATGACTGATAACGTTCAGAATCGGCTTGAACTTCCAATCCAGAAGCCGATTCATCAACATGGGCTTCCAACTTGAGAAGGTCAGGCAGTGAGAGAGACGGAAGATGCTGCGCGCGCCCCAACCACCAATTCCATACTGAGGGAGGTTGGCCTTCACGCGGGTTAGGTCGATAACGCCATATCTGAGCACGATTCGGAACTAGCGGAAGCGCGGAAATGAGGCCAGCGCTGCAGCGGGAGCACGATTCGGAACGAGCAGAAGCCCGAAAATGAGGCCAGCGCTTCAGCGGGAACAACATCTTGAACACAAAAACCCAAGCGAAAACCCAACTCGCGGGAATCCAGTGTGTAATAAACAATACGCGGATGGGTGCCAGACATCTTCTGGGCGTCATCAGGGGAGACAGGAGAGTAGTACTCATATTGTGAAATTGTGAAGGAAGCAACCGGAGGGATGCGGTAGCGAGAATACGGTTAGGAACCTTTGCTGGGCGTGTCGCGGCGGCGGCCCCGGAGACACGCTGTACCTTGCGCGTGGACCATGTGTCTCGAAGCTCCGCGGGGCGGGAGGCTCCCGGGAAAAAGGCTCGGGACGCTGGAGCTTGGGGCTGGGATTCGGATGGCGTGTCGCGCGACGCGCGGTGGGCCAGAACTGGCGCAGCGACACGCTGTAGGCCAACATTCCTGACCGCAGCGACCCTACGCCGCGGCGTACGCGGGCCGTCAGCGTGGCACACCGCGTGGGGAAGAGGGCGCTCCGCGCGCGACCCTGCGCGGGAAGCCTGCGCGCGAGTGTCCGCGCCGTCGACCCCGCTTTCCTCCCGCGGCTCGCCTGGCTCTTGGGGTACCCGTCGTAGATCGCGGCGAACTCCTCCGTGCAGTGGGCGACGTGCTCGAGCACCCCGCGGTCGCCCCCCTCGAGGCGCGCCAGGGCGTCCTCCGAGGCCTCCCGAACCCTGGGGCCCTGGCGTCGCATCCTCTACGCAACGGGCGACCTCGCCTTGCTGCGCGCACCGTGCAGGGCTCCGGCCGTGGCTGCTGGCGATGCTGCATGTTCTTCGTGACGCCGGATCTCTGGGGACTGGGATCCGAGCAGCTGGGGACGAAAGGCCGAACCGCATCGGCGATGCATCGGCGACGTCGCCGCTGCATCGGCGACGTCGGCGCGATCCTCCGACCCCGGCCAGGCCCGGGCCAGAGCTCGGGCCCGCTGCGGCCGTTCAGGACGATCCGCCCCTGGCGAGGCGCAGCTGCGGGACAGCACCCAGAGGCGAGGAAGCCTTCAAGAGCCAGCGAGAGCTTCCAAGATCTTCGTCGTCGTCACGCCCGGGGATCCGACGTCGAGAAAAAAACGCAACATGACAAAGAAACTCGACTGGAGCCACTGGACCTCCTCTTTCTGCGGCGAAGCTCAAGCTGGATCGATCCGTGAGGGTCGCCCAAGACCGAAACAAACGTAAAATTGCCCGCTGCGACAAACGTGCGACGCCAGGATCTTGGGGTCGTCGCGACGTCGTGTTTTTCTCGCAAAGCGGACCCCCAGAGGTCTCGACCCATTCCCCCGCGCTGGATTTTCATCCCGAAGCGTTCTCTGATCGTCCTGTGGGGCCCAGCGAGGTCCTTTTCCTCCTCCTCCTCCTCCTCCTCCTCCTCCTCCTGCCCCTCCTCCTCCTCCTCCTCCTGCCCCTCCTCCTCCCTTCTTCCCCTCCTCCTCCTCCTCCTCCTCCTCCTCCTCCCTCCTCCTCCTCCTCTTCCCTCCTCCTCCTCCTCCTCCTCCTCCTCCTCCTCCTCCTCCTCCTCCTCCTCCTCCTCCTCTCCTCCTCCTCCTCCTCCTCCTCCTCCTCCTCCTCCTCCTCCTCCCTCCCCTCCTCCTCCTCCTCCTCGTCCTCCTCCTCCACCACCTAAACCAGTCTCGACCGTCTACCTATCCCGAAGATCGGCGAACGCAAGCCGATGTCAATCTTGGGGGTGTGCCCTCAGAAACTGAAGCGAACCCTTCTACGATCGGAGGCCCCAAGTCCTGCAGCACGCCGGAGAAGTGTCCCCCCACCTCACCAGCCTCGAATTTCTACCCGTCCCTGAAGACTAGGTCGGGCCTGTTCCACTACAGGGGGATTTTGGGCGAAAGAATTTAAAAACATACCCCCCAAAATGCCCCAAGCATGTTCAAACATAGTCAACACATCGTCCCCAGACTATTTTTTATATCATTTTTGGATATCCTTCCTGCAGAGGGACAGGCCCGACTTAACCCTAAGATCGGCGAGCCCAAGGCGATGTCCCTCTTGGGGGTGCGCCCTCAGAAACTGAGGGGAATCCTTCTAAGATCGGCACCGAGGTAAGGTGATGCCAAGCGTAGGGTCAGGGGTACAGTCATAACTGATCGTAAAGGATGCGCGATAAGGATGCAAGCCCCTTGGACGCCCGTGCTGGCGCTTTTTTCCAACGCGGCGGGCCATCGAAAGTAGTCAAGGGTGGACCTGCAGGAGGCACAGATGCAAGATTGCCCTTGCAATGAGGCGCATATGCAAGAGTACCGTTGGGAAGGTTACCCATCCTTACCATCGGTCTCGACTGTACGTCTGCCAGACACCGAGACATGAAACGTCCTGGTGTTTTCAATACGCGGTCCCCGCAAGTCCCGACCCCTGCCCCAGGACCGGACCTTCATCCCGAGTCCTTTTTCGACGGTGCCAGGGCCCGGCGAGGGCCCCTGGAGGCCGAAAGTGGCCAAACACTTCCCGTCGTGATCTTTTACGGGGCGATCCCCTGAGGTCCGACGTCTCGGAACAAAAATCCGCGCGAAATCCCGACCCTCTGCGTCACTCGTCGAGCCGGGTCGATGATCTGTGAGGGCCCTGGGGCCCGCAACCGGGCGAAGACGCCCGGCTCGCCAGGATCTCGGGGTCATGTCTTGTCAGGTCTGGGCCTGCTTTCCTGCAGGCGGATTTCTGGATGGAAGGAAAACTGACACAGAGCTGAGACACACCGACGATAGAAACAAACAAACAACGAAACAATCGTCCCCATATGATTTGTGGACTATGCTTGCGTCTTCCCCCTGCAGAGGGACATGCCCGGCGTGAGGATCTGAGAGGGGACCGACCGTCCCGGCATTCCTATAGGCCTGCCAAAGAATTTTCTGAGAACCCAACATGTTCTAAAGACAAGGACAAGGTTCTTAGAACACGAACCCGATGTGTGAACACAGGACGGTCCCAGCCAGAATTTCTCCAAGAGCATCCCGCGTAAGCCACAAAAAGGTTCCTGGACCATTCTCTGGCAGGCCTAGAGTTGGGCGCCCGAGTCATCCGGGGTAACTCGGGTCCGGGGTAACTCGGGTTTGGATTACCGAAAAAGGAACCCGAGTTAGCCCTGACCCGAGTTACCCCTGATGATGCTGGGCTCTGGACGCCCGAATTATCCGGGGTAACTCGGGTCCGGGGTAACTCGGGTTCGGATTCCCGAAAAACGAACCCGAGTTAGCCCTGACCCGAGTTACCCCTGATGATTCGGGGCTCTGATAGAAGCACGCCAGGACGCTCCGCCACTGCTCGAGGGATAGGGCTGCGCTTCGAGCTGGCAGCCGCCGGCAGCGGCCCCGCGGGCGCCCGCAGCGGCGGCAGCGGCGGCCCGCCCCGCAGCGCGCGCCGCAGCTCCGCCGCGCCCTCCGCGCCCATGCCGCCCCGGCCGCCGCAGGCCGCCGCCGCCGGGCGTCCTCGGCGGTCCCTCGGCGGCGGCCGGGGGATGGGCGCCCCATCGGCTACACGCAGGAGGGACCTGGGGTAATGCGGGATGACGATTAATTTTAAAAATGAAAGAGAACGATCCACAACAAAAATAGTTTTCTGCTATTTCTGCACAGTTTTCTGACTGGAGGAGAACGATGAAAGAAGATAGTTTTCCAGCCCGCGGCCGGCTTTTTCTAATCGTCATCCCGGGCGCCGCCGCGTGAACACGACCCCCGGTCATTTATTAATCGTCATCCTCCATTAAGAGTGACCTCTGGTGCGCGGCCTTTGGGGGGCCGCGGGGGGGGGGGCAGAGCCGGGCGCACAAACCGCTGCTCCTGCTTCGTTTTCAGCGATCTGGGGACCCATCTGTGCCCGCACCAGAGGTCACTCTGGCGAAAGGTCACTCTTACGTCTAGTCGAGCCCCAGAGATCCTCGAGTACAGTCCCAGAGATCCAAAGTATTGAAAAAATCAAGACGGAAGTCTTTCGCTAATCTCGACCCCTATTTGGGCCCTCGCCGGGCCTCGGGACCGTCAAGAAACGACCCGGGATGAAGAAGCGGTCCCGGGGAGTGGGTCGAGACAAATCACGACATCGGATCTCTGGGGTAGGGGGCCCGACCACAAGAAGCCTTCCACGAGAAGCCTAACCCTGAGACCCCCGGACGTGCAGGGATTTCGGAGGTGCGGGAGCGTCAAGCTGTTTCCATCGTAGAACCGTCGAAACCCAGGAAATCCAGGGTACCCTGGAGACGAGCAGGGTGTTTCTTGGCGTGGGTCTCCACTGTAGCTAAGGGATCGTCTTCAGAATCGACCTACCCCAGCATCGACCTGCTCGTCGAAAACCTACGACCATATATATATATATATATATATATATATCCGCAGAATGCTCCGTCGATCTGCGAGCACTCTGCGTATCTCTCGTAAGCTCCACGGGCAAAGCCATATCGGGGCACCTCACTTCTGTAGCCGATCCCCCACTCGAGCCCCAGCGACTTGCAGAATTCAGCGCCGAGGGGCCCTCGCCGGGCTCCGGCACCGTCCACAGGACGACTCGGGACGGACACCGGCCCCGGGGAGTAGGTCGGGACTTCGGGGGCCGCGCGTGGGACACATCAGTACTTGGCGGCGTGCACAAGGGGGTGGGGGGAGGGGGGAGGGCTTCTTAGAAGCAGGCTGCTTCTTATAAGGCGCCGGCCTTACATCTATAGATAAGGCCCGCGCCTTCCAAGAAGCAGGGGTGCTTCTAAGAAGCCCTCCCCCCTCCCCCCCACCCCCCTCTGCGCGTGGCTGAAGTACCGCGCATCTCCAAATCCCTTATTAATCGTCCCCCGGGTCCGGTTTTTGAAGGCGCCTTTTTTGTAACTGATGGGGGGTGCGGTATAGGGCGCTTTCTCTGGATTGGAGCTCAGAGGGTCCGGTTCAGCAAGGCGCCCCGCCCAAGAGGGGGGTCCAGAACATGAGGTCGCATTTGGAGGGGGGTCTGGTTTTTTTTGGGGGGGGGTCGAATAATAGAAAGGATTTGGAGTATCTCTTGGTCGCGGCGGCGTCCGGAGTCGCGGGGTGCCTTCCAGCAGCTGCGCCCCGCCGCGAGCGCTCCGAGGGAGCCACCGAGGAGCGCCCCAGGCGGCCGCCTGCGGCCGGAGCTGCGGCCCGCGGAGGCCGACATCTTGGAGGGTGCCTGTTTGCGCATCAGGCGTCTCGCCTCGATCTGGGCCCCCCCCTCCACCTCCATCTTCCATACCTTCCGACCTCTGCGGAAGGCGCGGAAGGTGATGCATTGAAACTATCAAAAGCCTCAGGAAACGCAGGAAAACTCAGCGTGTCACGAAGCGCAAGAGTGTGGAAGGTCAGCGCGGAAGGTCTGGAAGAATGAGGGCGAGGGACCGACCGTCCCGGTATTCCTATGGTCATACCAGGCAATGTTCTCAGAACCCAGAAATGTTCCAAGAACAACAAATATGTTCTTAGAACATAAACCCGATGTGATAAAATAAGATTATCCCGGCAAAGCAACCTAACAGCGATGTGTAGAAGCATATCTGAAAGCATTCCCCTTAAGATTCAGATGAAAATCCAGTTGTAGAATTCTGCTGTTCTCGCAGTCGTAGTCGCATTCGCGATGACAGTCGCAGCGGCAACGGCAGTCGCAGTCACAGCCTCAGCCTCAGCCTGCCTCAGCCTCAGCCTCAGCCTGCCTCAGCCTCAGCCTGCCTCAGCCTCAGCCTCAGCCTGCTTCA